GGAGCGCTCAATCGTACAGTCGCTGCAACCAATATGAACGAACAATCTTCACGGTCGCATGCTATTTTTTCCTTGCACATCAAGCAGCAAAGAGTAGCAGTAGCGCAAGAAGCTGAGCCGGTCATTACTCAGGTAACCAATAGTGTTTCGTCTAGGCTTACTTCATATGTTTAACGCTATATCCTTTCAAAGAGAAGACGCTGATTTTGTAGGAGATTGAAATGGAAATGCTGTCGGCAAAATTCCATTTTGTTGGACTTGGCGGGATCCGAGAGATTGAAACGAACTGGTGCTACTGGTGATCGAGCTAAAGAAGGAATCAGTATCAACTGTGGATTGGTATGTGTTTTGAACGAAGTGTTGTGTCATCTGAATTAGGTCCGGCAAAGGGCACTTTTTCTATGAGGGTGGAGGTCCAGGAGACAGTGGTGTGATTTTGAGCCTTGCCTTGCTCATGTAGTTCTTTTTTTCTGAAAACTATTTATTTGACCAAAGTTTTTAGTTGCAATATCTCTTTTCAGCTTGCACTTGGTAATGTTATTAGTGCACTTGGTGGAGCTAATGGTAAAGTCAGTCATGTACCGTATCGTGACTCGAAACTGACCAGGCTTCTTCAAGACTCGTTAGGAGGCAATAGGTGCGTTTGAAATGCATCTGTCGTAATTCCCGATCTTTTTTACATCCTCTTAACATTTGGCTTTCAGTCGCACACTGATGGTTGCGTGTGTGTCGCCAAGTGATAGCGATTTTGTCGAGACGTTAAACACCTTAAAATATGCGAATCGTGCGAAGAATATCAAGAATAAGGTTCGTCATGACAATGTTATTCAGTTTTTTACTTCCAAGTCTTGGCTGCCTTGGTAACTAGTTTGTTAGTGGTTATTGGGTAAACTGGTCAGGGGGAGGGGAAGATCATTAATTGCGATGCCGGGATGCAATAGAGCCTTGCTTCGGTTATGTTGGTATAGCTCGAGTGGGGAATGTCACTGTTTTCCTTGGTCCTTTCAAAGTAGAAATTCCAATGAGATATAAATGAGTGCTTAATACGGCTTCCTGTTAGAGACCCGTGTTTTGAGAGTCTCTAAATGATCTATGACCTGGAGTTGTTGCGAACTTTGTTCGTACTTTCACTTGGATTTATTATATTTTTATTGCATATCGGGCACCTAATTTCCTAGGTGGTGGCCAATCAAGACAAGTCATCAAAACTTATTGGCGAATTACGCGGTCGTATTGCGGCACTCGAAGCTGAATTGCTGGAGTTCAAACAGGGCCGACGAACAGTTGGCGTCGATGGAGTCGAGTCGGTTAATGATCAGTACCACGAGAATGTGATGCTTACGGTATGCCTACCTTTCTTTGCGTGTTTTTATTTTCTTTTTTTTCGTTATTTGCCTTTACATGATCATTTTCTTTTCCTCTGTCTTCGGCTTTTTTTCCTATAGTGCTTAAAAACTTTGCCGGTCTCTGTGTTGTTGTGTGAGATCCGAGGGTCTCATGTAGTTTGAAAGAGTCATGAGAAGAGTACGGTGGATTCGTAATCTAAGTCGTTATATTACGCTGTGGCTTTTGTGTCCCATGGTCAAATTTATTTTTGACATCTCTGACTAAACAGTTCCAATTTTCTTGATATAACACCGTATTTATCCTAGGAATGTTTCTCACACTCAGCTTGCAAATCATTGTTACTACTTAACGTCACAATTCGGTTTTCGTAATCTTATCGTATTTATACGAAAATATTAGTGCAGGGGAGCAATGCCTAAGGTATTTCCAGCACGCATGATGTGAACGGAGGCCCGCCCACAATGGGCGGAGCGTGTCGTGAAGCGGACAGCGTTTTCTACAAGAGCTCATAAATCGGCTCCGAGATGACTTAGAGACCGGAAAACAGCGGATAGAGGTCAGGAGGGGAGGGGAAGCTAAATGTCAGGGAATGGGCGTGGCTTACATCAAAGTGGGCGGAGTTTGCAATTAGGCTTATAACTCGGTTCCTAGGAGTCCCGGAGTCCGGGAAAAAAGCGTATGAGGGTTGGCAGAGGGAAAGGGGTCAACCGTTGTTGGCGGGCGGGCGGATGCATGCGCATGCACCAAAGTGGGCGGGGTTTGCCACGGTACTTCATAACTCGGTTCCAATAAGTTCTGGAGATGGGAGAAAAAAGTAGAAAAAGGTTGGGGAAGAGATGATAGTCAACTGATATCAGTGGGCGACCCATGCACCAAAGTGGGCGGGGTTTGCCACAAAGATACGTAGCTCGATTTCGTCCCCTACAGGACCTCATAATTCTGCTCCGAGACGACTTAGAGACCTGAGAAAATGTGTATAGGAGTGAGAGTAGGAGTAGAGGCTTAGATGTGGACGCTGGGCGCGGCACTCCCCGAAGTGGGCGGAGTTTGCCACCACTCTCATAACTCGGTTCCTAGAAGCCCCAGCGCCCGGGAAAAAAGTGGATAAGGGTTGTCGGAGGGACAGGGGTTAAATGCTATTGGTGGGCTAAGTGTGCACCAAAGTGGGCGGGGTTTGCCCCAGAAATTCATGACTCATAACGTCTTCTACAAGACCTCATAATTCGGCCCCGAGATGACTTAGGAACCTAAAAATATACATGTAGAGGTGAGAGGAGGAGTAGAGGTTGAATGTGAACGCTGGGCGCGGCACTCCCCGAAGTGGGCGGAGTTTGCCACCACTCTCATAACTCGGTTCCTAGAAGCCCCAGCGCCCGGGAAAAAGTGGATAAGGGTTGTCGGAGGGACAGGGGTTAAATGCTTGGTGGGCTAAGTGTGCACCAAAAGTGGGCGCGGGTTTGCCCCAGAATTCATGACTCATAACGTCTTCTACAAGACCTCATAATTCGGCCCCGAGATGACTTAGGAACCTAAAAATATACATGTAGAGGTGAGAGGAGGAGTAGAGGTTGAATGTGAACGCTGGGCGCGGCACTCCCCGAAGTGGGCGGAGTTTGCCACCACTCTCATAACTCGGTTCCTAGAAGGCCCCCAGCGCCCGGGAAAAAAGTGGATAAGGGTTGTCGGAGGGACAGGGGTTAAATGCTATTGGTGGGCTAAGTGTGCACCAAAGTGGGCGGGGTTTGCCCCAGAAATTCATGACTCATAACGTCTTCTACAAGACCTCATAATTCGGCCCCGAGATGAC